CTAACAACAGTAAAACTTGGCCGCTGACACAAGGCCTATTCGCACCCCACGAAATGCTATTCTGCAAAAAGAATCTGAGCATCCTTATGTGGATGAGTATTAAACTGTACGATACAGTGAAAGGCTTATATTCGCTTCTCAAGGGGGATGAGTTTAAATTGAATGAGGAGCTGTAAATAGAAATTTGAGCCTGACCTTGACCGGGAAGGCAAAGAGATCAATCGTCAGAGTTCAAATAGGTGTAGTATACCTGAAGAGGGTTCGGCCCCGGACTCTTTTGAGTACAGTATAGGCAAAAGTTGGGCTTGGTTAGGTAGCATCGAGAGATCGAGCGGGGCTTTCAATTGTCGAAGATGCTTGATGCTTTTCTGTCAGGGCTTTGATATGTGCAATCTGAAAGAGCCCTGCCGGCGCCACACATAGCTTCGCTAATCGAGCGCATGACTCTTTACGTTGTTGCAACTGCTCCTTCTAGCCAGCTGCAGCCTGCCCGCAAGACATTGACTTTGTCCCGTTCACAGATTAGATTCCAGGCTCACAGTGTACCAAGAAGCCACGACAGGTCTTTGCTTAAAAGAATCAAGCTCCAAGTCACCCTGCTCCTGTCTATATAACTACAGCCTTGAGACGAACTGGATCATGGCTAAAGTAGTTTACGAGTGTGGGAAGACTGTCAAAGGAGAGAGCGCCCTGGCCCAGCATAAGCAAGACTCGTCGAGATATTGAAAAAGCGTTAAGCCTACTGGATCAAACGATTATATTATATCCAGAGGTCTAGTTAGTCATATAGCAGATAGAACCATCCCGCTACAATCATGATTCATTATTGCTAACTATCATCATACTTAAACAGCCAACGATCTTTGGCCCTGTTCCATCTTCTTCTCGTTATCCACTCATTCAATTTGTGAGAGCCATAGAGTCGATCAATGATAATAGGAGGAAGCAAAAGGAGCGAATCCAGACGAATAAGATGGATAATAGGACTGCTTCGGAATTACCACAGTTCAAGGTTACCGATTATGGGAAGCTATATTTGTCGGGCTTGGGGGACAAAGACTAGAGTCTCTACGATAAAGATTGTAGCTGATGCGGCCATTATGCTGATAGTATGGTCTTCTGATAATCTGTGAAATATAGTATAAAGTCCGCGAAGATAATGCTAAGATATATAGCGATTCGTACTCCCTCCACATCTAGAAAAGCCGAAGATCTACATTATATCAACTCCAAGCCTCTGGGAGACTATACGCCTTGACGAACTAGAATTACTTTGCCTCTTGAACGTCGTAAGTGGGGGCTATAGAGGGCCTGGAGCACATAGAACAAGACTGGACTGGAAGAGGCGGGAATAGGGATGAGGAGAGTGAAGAGAACGACGACGAGGAGGACAATAAGGTATGCTACCGAATCTAAGTGGTGAGATACATGCTTGCAAGTGTACCGGTACAGTAGCGAGAGCACCTAACATCTCTTATTGCTTTTTGATGAAAGGTGCCTTCTTAAGTGCCTTAGCTTGGGTTTCCTAGATTATCCTGCCATCCTCCGCAAGCACCAAGCCGAACTCCTCCAACAGCTCCTCTACGCTCTACTCCCCTTTGCGAATGGCCTGTTTGTACTCTTCGTCAGTGCCGAACGTTGCCACCCGCCATACTACCTTCCACTTTTCGATTGTAAGAATAGCCTTAGGGTCATCTCGCCTTACGTCTCTGGCGACCATGTAAAAGGAAGAGTGAGTGGCATGACCTAAGGTTGGCTTATGAAGATAGATAGAAGAGAACTTTTTAAACGTTCGAAAATAATACACTATATCCTAAGCTTCGAGTTTGTAGAGGAGAATGATCATTGTTCTGCCCGGTGTAAGGTGTTCGAGGCCTAGAGCCAGTTGGGTGGTCTTCAGCCTATCTCCCTCGTGTGTTTCTTGGTATAATGCTTGGGTTAGAGTATGTATTTGGAGAATATGACCATCATAGATAACTAAATCGAAGACCTATGTCTCTTCAATTTATTGTGGAAGAAAGTTCCTCATATCTGGATACTCTGCTGGAATATTTATGACACCTATATCTTTAGCGAGCATTATGATATCTAGGAACTTGACGCAGTCTTTATATTCTTTATTAAGAAAGATATTATAACCTCCGTCCAAGGATGGCAGGCTGAAGCCAAGAGCCTTACAGCCTGTGTTAAGGTCTGTTGCGCTTGTGAGAAAGCTACCTGGTGCCATACACATATTGAGGACACTCCTAGGCCTCGTCTTGGTGGCAAAGTCGAGAGTGGTATGGTAAAGCTCCTTAGCAATCTTCTTCATCAATTTAAAGTGATAACCAGATGTCTGGTCATCCGTTTTGTCGGCATTTTTATGCTAGATCTTAAAGTATATATCGCCAGCCGGATTTTCCTATCCCTTTCAATTCAATCTTAGTATAGAACTTGGAGCTAAATCACGTTTCGTATAAGCTTTTTCGATTTACCTTTTGCCACAACTCCGCCAGTTTCTGGAACTCTAGAACCCAGTCTAGCAAATAGTTTATTATAATGCTGGTATTATATTGTTTCCACTGGTCGGCGGGGCATAGAACATGCTGTGCTATAGGCTGAAGACCGGCTCTAACTAAAGCCTTATCGCCAACTTGAGTCCTTAGGCCTTGAGATAGAGACGCTGTGGCTATATCCATTTGGCGGGTTATACTGGCACAATGATAAGTTCGTCCATAATATGGCAGTTGAGTTGCCTATTTAAGAGATGGTTACTGCTTCAAAATTTCTGATGCGGAAAGAAAGAAGAGAAGCATTGCTAAAAGGCTGTGATGCCATATGGATATGGGGGAAGATCGTGGGGTAGTTTTCTGTATGACTTTGGGCGGTAGTTAGGCTTGCTCTAGTAAGCGTGTCGATTCTTATATAGGAGTAGCTTTTAATTCACTATTATATAGAAGTCCTAAGGCTATTAAGAAACGTAGTCTGCTGAATATGATGGGGCGTTCCTTGGCTGCTTAAGGTAAGCCATACTTCTTTTACCTTGACAGGTAGACTTATGTCTAAGGTAAAGGGAGCGACGACTCTGATGGTGATGGGATGTCTAACTGCTCGTAATAACCCACTAAAGAAAGGTCCTATAGCGGATAGCGGGCTCTCATGGAAGCCTAGAAAACATATAGAAATTCCGAGGGAATTTGTCCCCAGCAAACTGCGGTGGGTGCCTTTATTAGGCATTGGTCACGTATATACCTCTTGTTACAACTATTTTCTGCAAAGCTACCCAAGCCACAGGTTATCTAAAACTTTAGCGACCCTAGTTCGCCTTTTACTATGGCACTTGAGGATAAGCATTAATAAAATGCCATTTACAAAAGGCTTTGCAGGCATTCTTATATATACTGTAGCGCCTTTTCAAGGCTTGATAGGAAGCTAATCCACGCGAGAGAGCATGATATGCAATGTGGGGGGAGGGGGTTTTGAATCTGGCTTAAGCTGATAGATAGTTGATGACCCGTGCAAGGTCAGCTTGTTAGTACATTAGGCAAATTGGTACACAGTGTGCAAAACCATAGACTGTGTATAAGCCAAAAGCTGACCCAGTTAGGGAAAGTTTCGGTACTAAAACATGGACGCTGAACCTGGGCATTACTGAACTGTAGCGCAATGTTATCGTCAGTTTGCAATCGGATCCTGGGACAATTAGAGTAGTCTTTCGATAGACGCTAGCAGTTTAAAGATCAAGTACCTATGAGATTTCCATGTGATTTATGATCCTGACATTGCAAGGCCTTTTTATGCAATCAATTTGTGGCCTCAATCTAGGAACAATTCTGTTATTAGTCGTTATGCCGCGTCAGCTGGCGCTAACAAAATCAGCGGCCCAGCGCCATACTACCATAACTAAAGCTGCGCTAAATGCTCAGGAGACCCAGCATCGATAATTACAAGCTAGATACTTCGATGGGAGAAATATTAGGATAAGGCCGAAGAGAAACATTTCGACCTTTCATTCAGCATCCATCGATGATACCTATTTCGAGACACTAGTATACTGCTCTAGGTCTGTTCTCGGTTTTGAGATGGTGGCCCTATGAGGCAAAATCGAGGCGTAATCTCCCGAGATCCCAAAATAAGGCCACTACCAATTCAAACGGGCCAGACTTTTACGCCACGTAGCTTATATCATAGTGAGCTGAAGAAACAAGTCGGGTGTAGCCTACATACTAAAATAGGATTTCGAGTAGCCGAAAAGTTCGAAAATCCCAGGTCCCCGACAAGTCGACAGCATAGTCTACCCGAGAACCTCGAAAATCCGAGGTCCCCGAAAAGTCAACACCGTGGTCTGCTCGAGGTCCTCGAAAATTCTGGGTCCCCGACAAGTCGACAGCATAGTCTACTCGAGAACCTTGAAAATCCGAGGTCCCCGAAGAGTCAACACCGTGGTCTGCTCGAGGTCCTCGAAAATACTGGGTCCCCGAAAAGTCAATAGTTTAGGCTGCTCGAGGACCCTGAGCAGCCCTAATTCTAGAGATATCGACGTAAACTGCCCAATCATCGTCACCTGACAATGCTAGCCTTAACATTATCAATTTACCCTAGCTAATCATCTGCGTTCCTCCATCGTCAACCAGATTAAGGTGGCTTTCATCGTTTCAATAATTATTGATATATTTCTGGCTATAAACACACATGCCGGATCTTGAATTGATGAGAACAAACAAATCTGCCCTAAGTTTGATAAATGTTAACCTCGTCAGGACTTTGAAAGATGGCAAGGCAAGACCAGATACAGCATAGGATGAGGACACGCATAGTTAAGCCTAGAATCCTGTTGCAACCCCCGCCTTGCCCAAAAGACGTGTGTAAGATGGCTCAAAAGAAAAGGCCACAGTCTTCCTCAAAGTTCCGGTGACCATTGACCTGTCTCCTTGGCGCCTGTGAAAGCTGTACATGCTGGTCGGGCAGCTTCTGAGTTGCCACTTGCCCCGCCGATAATTTTCAGCAGAAAAATGGGGCCTCTAGGTCTGTATTGGTTCGACCTCAATACGAAAGATTGGAATAGACTTGAATCGGTCGTTGTAAAGCTCCTGCACCTTTTCGTTGATGAAAGCTTTCGTGTGTTCGAATCGTTCCTCCTCGCCATCGCGCAGCATTTGCTCAATCTTGAGTCCTGGCCCACTAATCTTGAAAGACAGGGCTGCGACGCGTTTCTCTGGGTGCACCTGGCTTATGAAATCCTGAAGTGAAGTTTCATGGAATGCGTGCTTTAGTCTCAGTTCTCTATACCAATGGTCCGCAGAGGTCGAACAACTAGAGAAAATAACGAAGGTGACGTTCGATATAGACTGACTGCCTGTCGTGTGGGCTGGTCGTTCAGTAGGCGCCGGCACCTTTGAGTTTTCCAATGCGACTTTCTGACGCTTGACAGGCTGAGTCGCAATGCTGCTGACTTTTGGGGGGCCCTGCTCGACATCTTTATCTGCCTGAAGCTTTCGCTTGCCTTTATACTTGATATTGTTGGATTCCTGACGGTTTAGGCGGAAGAAGAGTTGTTGGATTGTGTCTTTTATCCTGAACAAAATCAGGTCTTGCATATCGCTATCCATAACATTGAGCTTACGTTTCATGGTGAACTGAGTACTGCAACTCGTTGTAGAACTCGGAGGCCTGATCATCCGGCCAGAACACAGAGCCAAAGTCCCCTTTGTCCAAAAAGGCACAAGCCAACTCATGTAGGTTGCCCTGGTGGACTTTCCAATCAATCAATTCTCTGCCGCACATTCCGCTCTCCGTTCGGAACGTCCTTCTGAAGAGGTTCATTGTCTCATTGAACAGTTTGCAGCGTTCCAGATGACCGGCATGTGGTTGCTCTTGTCGTGACCCCAGCTTTGTTTTACCGTATCCAATCTTCGCGCGGAGATTATTTATGTTCCCCATGGGTCTGGCAGAGGATATCGACGTGGGTATGAATGACATGCTGAAGTCGCTGTAGTAACTAATGGTGTGGCTTTTGAAGAGTTCTGATATTTCAGTTGTGGGAGGCTTGTGAGATTTGAAGATTTAAAACTAGACAATGGCATGCAGGCCTGACTACTATTTATCTGTTTTTGTAATGTGTTTAGAAGTATGGCAGCTCATGGGTTGCCTCACCAGACTTCACCTATAACCGAGGCTGGATTTAGAGATAGGTAATGCAACCCAAGCTCCTTGACTTTACACGGGGCATTACCCCTGGAAGGTGAAGAGGCTTACACTATGAGTGATTTCCGAAAGAATGTATAGAAGATGCATTATTGCCAGGGAGAAGACTGTTGCACACGATCTGAGTGTTGGAAACACGGCTCATCTATCATGAGGCCAGTCCGAGAACATACGTCAGCTTGATATTCAGCAATGCTAAGTTCCTGTCTCCCCTGAACAGTGCCCCTTTCCTCTATGCATCTCATACAATATGAAATGGAACCCTGTTCTATGCTATAGGCAGGAGGCCATGCCTTGATACTCGGTTCAAGGGTCGAATCGAAAAGACCCTCGGCGATTCCGAAATGACGCGTGAAGGCACCCTCAACTGTCATGCGTTTAAGTGACCCTAGTCTGTGCATAAAGAAGGGGCAAGAAAAGTTCCAACTGTGCCATGTCACGCAATGTAATACTCAAAGGGATAGCCTTGTTAGTAGGCGTGGGGGAGGCAGTGTTGTCACGATATCTATTGACCCTGCAAGTTACTGTGCTCTGCATTGAAGACTTGAGATAGTCTAGACAAGGGATCGCATCAAGCGGCTGAGCAATCGACTCCCAAAGGGGTAGCCGAAGAGATCTTCGCCTCCTGGTCATTCAGGCGTTCTCAGAGTTCTAATTACAGTCAGTAACCTACACTTCCTCGAGTGAGCCTATGCATAGATACTCTCTGCGTTTCACTGCTGAGAGAAATCTACTGACGGATCGAGCATGTGGATGGCCCGACAACGTCATGAAAACTTCAGGAGGCCTCACACATGTCGTGATGAATGAGGGCCTCTCAGTGCCTTAGACTTCATGCCTAATACTACGGTTGCTCCAAATCAGACATCTCAGGTGGGTGGGTTATGGATGTGTCATCGGCATCGCCGATTGCAAACGTCTCATCAGATTTACATTCTCAATGCTCAGTAGGCATGATATAGCATTAACATGACCCGCCTCATCCTCGGGAACAGTGCGGCAGAAGTTTCACCTTACATGCGTTGAGAAGATTGCCGGTGGGACAGACATCTCTTCATGGAGGACCATGCTTGATAAATAGAAAAGGCGAGTGCTTCTCCGTGGATGTCTTCTAGACCTGCCTCCATACTATTTCTCCTGAGCTCACCATCATGGCCACCTACTATCAAGAAAATTCTGAATTGACTCTTCTCTCACATTTCAATACAGATATACTTCCATTTTTGGACATTAACAGGGAAGACCTTACGGTCGATCCGATGTCGCCTCCTAGTTCTACCAACCTTTCACGGGACATTCTTGTATATTCTTTTGAGGATCACTTTGAAGAACTTTCTACAGAGACATATTCTTACGAGAACTCGGTCTTTGACACTGAATTATTCTGGACAAACTTGAACCAGGAGGCAACATTTTCAGACTTCGAAACGCTCATCGAACAGGTCGATATTGATACTCTTTTGAAGGACTGGGTGGAACTGGATATGGATGGTTCTCCAAGCACAGAAAGGCCCAACATGGATTCTACTCACAACACGTCCACTTCCTACTCCAATTCCGACACAGAATTGATTTCGGTGGAGGGCGAGCCAATAGCTGTGAACCCAGCCCTGGCCATGGACTGCGGTCTGACAGTAGTAAATGGCATAACAGTCATTCCCCATAGCCCCACCGCTATACATATGTTTTCATCGAAAAGCGGCAAATTGGACACAGAAACCGAATGGCGACATGCGATCGATAGCTGTGAAACAGCACTCGGTGAAGAGATCAGCCACACAGACACAAACCAATTTGTGGAGCTGTCAGGATCGTATAAACCGGAATTTGCAACAGATTTAACTTCCAAGAGGCCTCAATCGCCACCATGCTGGGAATCGAATCTGTCATTCCTTACGCCGAATACCGAGACACATCACTCGCTCTCGCACAACGACAACGACAATGTGAACAATCAACAAGCCAATCTTCATCGTTCACCAGGTGTATCAGGGCCATGTACGGTACCGAGGGCTGCTTTGCCTCGATCTAAAAACTTGGCTTCCAAATCGTCCACATTGGCCAGTTCTAAGGAAATCGGAACGAAGCTGAAAGTTTGCAAGCGGAAAAGAAGGATCAAAAAGCCACAGGAACCTAAGGATAAGGTTGACCGTTTCCGGATTACTCGCATCATCCGGCAGAAAAGGGGAATCTCACGTGACTACCTTTGGAACCCACATTCAAGGACCTGGCAAGACTACAGGAAGCGGTATGCGGACGTTATCAAGATGTTTGAAACAAAACCAAAGTCCTTGTTGCAGTTGGAGGTCAAGGCCAATTGGGATGGATGGCCAGTTCGCTTGACCTGGGATTCAGACTCGCAAGGGTACAGCGGAATGGACGCGGACGGAGAGGCAATCTTAATTCCCTGGTGGAAAGTGCAAGGCATGCTTCCGGATCCTATTTATTATACTTTCCTGGCACTATAGAATACACAGCTTTCATTTATCGGTAGACACTGAAGAACACAAGGCGCATTTGGCTACTTTAACACCCTGCCAAGTCTTTTTCACCGACAAGGTATTCATCGTGACTTCGAGGATGTAGAGGAGGTCTCCGCAGTCTTGTGGATGCACAGTAGTAGAAGTTTGTTGCTACTATGACTTGAGCGCTTGGCCGTTACAGGTTCCTAAGCTAGGGGCCTGAGTGGCGCAGCGCAAGAGTCGCCTAACAATTCAAACAGAGCTTTACGCATGACGCCGGTCATACTCGTTGAGTATAGCTTCCAGCCTGTCATCCATGGCTTGTTCTTTCAGCCATATATCTCCCCTATATGGTCTCCCAGGCTTCATGTCCGCTTTAGATTTTAATATGTTGGAGATATTGTCTGTAAACTGACGGCACCATGCTTCTTCTTCCTCTGGGTTGTCCCAATGCAATTCAAAACGAGCCAATGCTTTGCCAAGTGGCATAGAACAACGCTCTTGGAGCTCAGAAATGCGCCCGCCTCCTTGAATGACAAGGGCATACATTCGTTCACGTGCTGGTTTCATCTGAGCAGCTTCGAAGGCATCATATAACTTGGGTAGCATAGCTTCGCACTCCGGAACCACCCATTGCGAAACTGATGTAAAAAATGACCTTGCCATCTCACGGGCAGAGTTGGTACTCTTCCAATAGACCAAAGGATTTTCATAAAATGCTTCGGGAGATGCCTCGGCTAACATGTTCGGGTTTGCAGCTAAAAACTCCGAAGCTGGTAGCATTCTCAAATCTACCAGGGACTTCTCGTTCCACATAGAAGGCTCGGCTACAAAAGCCGTCACTTCGCTGCCCAAGCAATGGTCAAGGTAGCGTATTGTCTCATTCGTCGTTAGGAGACTGACGACATTGAATGAGCAGACAGGGTTGAGTTGATCTGGCTCAAAATGAAAGCGAAACGACACCGAAATGTCACGAGGGAGATTGAAGGCCTTAGCAAACGCATTGTTCGATACACATATTGCCAGTTGCTCTTTACTGATTCGGGTGAAACGCCAGGTTGCCAACGTTGGCTCATCGATCACGCTCAACCGTATCTCCGTGACCACCCCGACCCCTGCAGCAGCACCACCACGCATCGCATACAGTAAAGACGGGTGGTGTGTCTCATCTACTTCAAGGATGGATCCGTCCCATAGGACGATGCGCCCACCGATGACCGACTGACACCCCAGCCCGTAGCGCCGAGCCAGGATAAGATCCCATCCAGCAGTCAAGAAATGTCCACCGGCTCCGACGCCAAAGCAGTCTCCATGTGGCACAGCCTTATGTTTATTTGCCAGAGAAATAATTGTTTGACCTAAGACACAGCCAGGCTCCAAGAGTAATATGTCATTTTCGACCCGTCGTCCAGACATACGCCCTAGGTTTATCATGATACCAGAGCATGAAGCACCATTAAAGTATCCATGACCGCCACTTTTCACTGAGATAGGAAAGCAATCATTGTAAACTCCGAGGTCCTTGAACAACTTCAAAGTCTGCACGACGCCCCATTCACTTCGTGGTGAGATCACGAGTGCCGGTATAGGAGCTCCTCGATCATGCATCACTGCTTCGGGGGGCAGGCTGCTGCCGCTGACCTCCTGGACCTGAATGCCTCGCTGGCTAAGCTTTTCTAGGATCAAAGCATAAATACTCCAAGCTTCCTGCTTCATTTCATTGTCATTGGAGCCGGGAGCCTTGGTCATAACGGCCTTGGCCCCGAGAGTCTGTGGAGGTGAAGAGCAAAGTCCAAGTAAACGACCAGCCCGGTTGACGAGCCTCACAAGATGATCGAGTAGCTTAGTCGTCAAAGGAGCTCTTATGGGCCCGTAGGATCTCTCTCCTTTGATATGATTCATGAAGGGAGCCATAGCAGAAGAAGCTATACAAGTAATAAGCTGTGGAGAAATAACTTAGACGCTTTGTTGTTCAAGTAAGCTGTAAAAGCGGTGCAGCATTTTTTCGCAAAGTAGCGGGCAAGTCCTGGTCTTTTATGTTGTAAGGAAGACATCACTATCTGCTAAAGGCTTGCCCAGTCCACAATCTAGCATCTTTCATCTAGGCTCTTGTAGTCTTATTTCATTGGCCCTTCACACCTCTACCAGCCCTTTATA